CCCCTTATCTGTCCTAATCTCTTACCACTCTCTTCACTCAGCTATGGTGGCCTCCTTAAATCCACAAGGGTGCTCCTACCTCATGGCCTTTGAACTTTCTGTACCTCTGTATGTAACCCTCTACCCTGGATATCCTCTTTGCTCTTTCTCTCATTGGGATCAGATGTCAACTCACCAGCAAGTCCTTTACTGACTATTGTATTTACAATTGCAAACTTCCTTTTCCTGACTCTTCTATGCTTCCCACTTCCTACAACCTTTTGTTATCTTATATAATTTATTTATCTTATTTATTTATCTGCCTCCCACCAACAAAATGTAAGAGTTCCACGAGGGCAGTGACTTTGATTCACTTCCATGCCTGGCAAATCCTAGGTGCTCAATAAATACTAGTTGAATGAATAAATGAACTACAGATACCCAAACTCAGTTTTGGACCACTTGCAACTAGCCATTCTCAGAAATCTACTGAAACAAACATTTCAGTATCTTTAGTTTTTAACCATTGTTTTTGGATCTACATTATTTCCACAATAAAGAAAGCAAGATCTTTCTCTGCACTCATGTCTTTTTTCTCATGATCCCTAGGTGTCCTCAAAAAACTCTAGAAGGGGTTTCTTTTCCTCAGGCATAAAATCTCCTTAGACATCTGTACCAGATCCTACATTTCTGGCCTGAAATATGTGCAGCCAATATAGATCCTTAATCGCATATGCTCTTCAGGTCTATGCAGTGTACATCAGATACAACCAGACGTTGTACAAGCGGTATTTGCACCCTCAATTGTTTGCAAACTGGCCACATTTCACCTACCTAGTAGTTCCGTGTCTGCATTCAAGATGTGCCCTGTGTTAGCACTAGAGATGGTAGACACACGAAGGATGGAATGTCTGAGATTGTAGACGGCCCCTTACTTTAGATACGGGGAAATCAAGATTCAGAGAGTTTAGGCCAAGTAAACTTAGGCCACGTCAAAATTAAAAAAAAAAAAAAAATCAAAACAAAGACACAAAACACATCGTGGTAGAAAAAGCACAGGAAGCCAGGTCTCTCGCCTCCCACCATTCAGCCGGTCCACAAAACGACCCTGTGACATACGCAGCTCAATCTAGCTGGCAGCCTTCTACCGTAGCATTTTAATGTTCAACCACGAGGTCGCAGGCTGGTAAAGGAAGTGCGCACTCCGGACCTCGCACCTCTCTAGCGCCGAAAACCAAAAGCAGCTCGCTGCCTGGGCCCCAGCCGCCTCCCGGACCCCGGCCCCGCTGACCGCAGTCTCGCGAGACTAGCGGTCGCGGCGAGCAGGGTGCGGAACCTCCCGGAAGTGGGCGAGGGGACCTGTCAGCTCCCACCCGGGCGTGTGGGGAACTTGAGGCCCGGTGGGTCGAGGGTCTTCTCCGGGACCAGCGCGAGGCGGAGTCACGGAGAAGCTCTCTGCCATTCACACAGCGGCCTTATCCCTGGCCCGGCTGCCGCCGCCCCGCCCTTTGCCCTTCACGGCGCCCGGCCCTCCTTGTCTGGGGCTGCTTTTTGCTCCTGGGCAGCCTGCCTTTCCCCGTTTGCTTTCCTTCCCGTCTCCTCCCCCGACTCCAACACCAGAGTCGCGGGTCCTGCAGTGTCCCAGAAGCTGCACGTATAACTTGCTCCGCGTAAGTGCTAGGAATGCCGCTGGTCTCTCAGGGAAATGGGTTCTTTCTATCTATAGCTCCGTCTGTACATCCTATGTCTGCAGCAGCTATTCCAGGGGCAACAACTGCTTCCCTCTGTTCTCATCTCCCCATTGGTGGCTTCCAACCCGAATTTGGGAATGGGGAGCTCTCCCACCTGTTATCTTTGAGCAGACTAATCTCTTGTAAGCAGAAGTGCCGTTTGTAGTCTTCAAAGCCCTTTGGCTTGGGACCGGGAATTTTCCCCCCCACCCAAATCCAGGCTTTCCAAAACGTATTGCTTTTCTCTGAGAATAATTCAGTTTTGGTTTTTTTTTTTTTTTTTAATTGAAAGAATCTATAATACAATAGTTTTGCTTTGGTCCTATTGTGCTCTAAGGGAGGAAACAACTATTTACCTTCTCAGGTCTTCTTTATAGGATTCATTCTTTCTTTTTGCTTTGCTAAGGTTAAAACACATTTAGAACATGTAAGTGCGGCTGTCAGCCTTGAGGAATTAAAGGTAATAGTTATTTTCTTGATCTTAATTCCTTTTTGTTTCATAGGGGTAACTCATTCGATTTTGGAGTTCTTTTAATTCTTCTGAAAGATTTCAAATCTTCTAAAAGCCAAAATGGGACACAGTAAACAAATTAGAATTTTACTTCTGAACGAAATGGAAAAGCTGGAAAAGACCCTCTTCAGACTTGAACAAGGTCAGTAGCAAGTTGTTTGATTAGCTGTGTCTTTTAAATTTTTAATCTATTGTCATGCTAATTTTTTAAAACTATAAGACAGGTATAATTTCCAAAGACCTTTCTAAACTCAATTAGTGCAAAGACAGTGCCATATTTTAAAAATATCACTAATGAAAGTTGATTTTAGTTATAAAGTTGAAAATGTTATATTTGTCATGTTAGGAGGATAAAATAGTTCACTTTTCTTTCCATGCTTCCACTTAAGACAGAAGTTGCATATATGATCAAGAAATTTACCATATTATTTCTATTAATTATTATAAAACTTGGTAAATTATTTCATATGTAATTTTATTTGGAGGATATCTATAGTTTTGCTTTTTCATAGACCTCATTTTTTTCCTTTATTGAAACTTTGATTTAGTAAAACAGATCACAGAAAAAAGCAAACTGTTATTTATATATATCAAAAGCCTCTCAAATAAAAATTAAAAAAACTGATCAGGTTATGTTGAAATATATTTGAGCTTATTCTTTAGACTTTATAATTTTTCAACATTGAAAACTTTCACACTTTTTTGTGTTACTGTAACTTGTGAAGTGGAAGTTTTAATGTATGAAAAATAAAATGCAGCCCCCTTTAATAGTGCAACAGATAGATGTTGATAGTAAACATTGAGGGATTTTCCCCCTCAATATCTCAAGAGTTACATTTTTGAAGAAAAACAAATCGACTGTCAAATGTGTTACCTCCATGCCAAATCACCTTCTTCCAACTTTGGCATTTAGGATCACTGAGTACTTACTCCATTTTTGGCTTTCCTGACTCGGCACTTTCCTAGTTTTGATTTTTTTCCTACCCTCTTGAGTGCTCCTGTCTACTTGGTGGTGTCTGTTGCTGAGCTGTCTTCCTTCCTTATTTTAATTAATTGTATCTATGTGCAAGAGATCTTTTCTTCTTCTCTTCTTCTGCCCTCAAAGAATTATACATTCTCATGGCCTCACTTGTTGCCTCCATGCTGATGGCTCTTTTTGGAAGAAGAGCCTTGAATTTTGCTTGCTTCTTAAAAGCCAGGAGTATAATGGCATGAGTAAGGAACTAGAATTTTCTTGGCTCTCCTGCTAACAACTTCTTTGACTTTGGGCAAGTCACATGAATTCTAAACATTAATTTATTTGCGAAATGAAGGTGTTAATTTCTGTTCTTCTACCTTCCTGGATGTTGAAGCTCAAAATTAATACTATATGGCTTTGAAATCCTAAACAGGTGCAAGGCATTGATAGATCACTATACCTATCTATTTTTGCACTGGATTCTTGGCTTCATCCAGTATTACGCTATAGAATAGCCTTGGGATAGCTCCACTTGATATGCTTACATCTATCTAACATGTCCCAAACCGTCTCCTACTCCCCATTCTCAAACCTTCTTTGTTTGAGAACAAACATCCTGTTTTTTTTAAAACAAACATCCTGTTTATTTTAGTGATGTCTCCATTTTTATAGTTTCCAAGGCCAGAAACTTTGTACTCACCTCTGACGGTTTCTTCTCTTTACCTGCAATCTCTCTTTAAGCCCTGTAATTTCTTTCCAAATGTCTCTGTTTGCCTATCTCTTCCATATGCCTAAACATGGATGCTAGAATAATCTTTTATGCCATCTCTTTCTTTTTATTAATTGGTGTCTATATATAAAGTCAAATTTAAATGCCTCTGCGGGGCTTCCAAGACATTCTCTAATAGAATCCACCTTCACTAGCCAAGGTTGCATCTCATTGTTCCCCATTATTAGTGTCCTACATCTTTACAATTCCCCTGTCAATTCCCTCTCCCCTGGATTTTCTCATAGCTCTCCTGACACCTTTACCCCCATCAGATTCCTCTATATCCATTAACTCCCTTTACTATCATTCTGTGTATTGCCTACCTTCAGCTAAAATTCTACCTGCTCCATGAGGTCTTTTCTTAATTTTTTTGTTATTTTCTTTCTTTGATTTCCAATCACACAATAGGCACAGAACAATTAAGTACTGAATGATGGAGCAGTGTCTCAGTTTATTGATCTTATAGCATCAGTTTAAGATCTGTCAGAATAGGGAAAGTATTATAAACCTAGTACAATGTATAACAGCCATTAAATCCTTGCTGATTCATTACTAAAACACTAGTTAAAGCTAGCAAAAAGTGTTAAATTCAGCCAAACTATTTGAAGAAGGAGCTATGAAGGGTTTATAAAATAAGAATGATGTGATTGAGTCTGTAAATCTAGTTAAAACCAGTAAATTCAACCAAATGATATAAATGGGACCACGTCAATTTTTTTGTGTGCAGTAATGAGGTGATCATATTACTATAGAAGATAATTAAAATGTGAAAGATGAAGGGACATTGGAGATAAATCATTAAGAAGGCTATTTTGAAAACACATCTGGTTAAAAATAAGGGTCGAACTACATTAGAGTCAAAAAAGGTAGCAGAGTTCAAGACATTTTATTTTACTTTTATTTTATTTATTATTATTACACAATATTTATTTTGAATTGAGAGAGAGAGAGAGAGAGAAACAGCATGAATGGGGGAGGATCAGAGAGAGGAGGAGGCACAGAATCCAAAGCAGGCTCCAAGCTCTGAGCTGTCAGCACAAGAGCCTGATGTGGGGCTCAAACTCATGGACTGCGAGATCATGACCTGAGCTGAAGTCAGACACTCAACTGAGCCACCCAGGCACCCCTTTTACAATATATTTTTTTAAATGTTTATTTATTTATGGGGGGGGAGTAGGGGCAGAGAGAGAGAGAGAGAGAGAGAGAGAATATCCCAAGCAGGCTCTATGCTGCCAGCACATAGCTCAGTCTGGCAAACCCCAAAATCATGACCTGAACAGAAGGCAAGAGTGGGATGGATGCTTAACCAACTGAGCCACCCAGGCGCCCCAGAGTATGAGACATTTTAAAATTCATAGGACTTAGTGAACAATTAGATGTGAAGAAAAACTCTGGCAGTTTTTGGTTCTTTCATATTTAAGTGATCACCAAGTCTCTCTTCATTTTTCTTTTCACTTTTCCCTAAGAAAGGATTCCTCCTCATTTTCGAGGCTAATATCTCTATAGACTCGTCTAACTCAGCAAGACCAAAAAAAATTTTTTCTAGCCAAATCATAGCCTTTCCCTGTATTTCCTGTTTCATTCAGTGGCAGAATAATGAACGAAGTCAGTTTTTGCTGAACCTGGAGTTCCATTTTTATATAGGTTGGTTAAATTTCAACTTTTACCCTTTTTTTAAGAAAATACTTATAAATTATGTTTCTCGATTAGGAGCTTGAGCTTATATAAACTTAGTAGACAGAGCAAGATGGAAAAATTTACTTCATAGTAATAGTTTAATCACCCTCTTTACTAGTTGCCTGCAAGAGGGAAATGGCTAATCTGAGTAAGGTATTCCTACTGTTCTATGAGGAATAAGATAGCCACACTATGTACTGCTGTGACCTAAGCTAATTTTAGCAAACCGAGTGAGTCATTATGGAATCTGACATAGTCTAGGTATTCTAATGTTTCATTTACTGTATATAAAAATTTTAGTTTCAGAGACTTGTACTGGACATCTACAGAGTAGCTGTATACTCTTGGGACTATGCCCTGATCTATCTAGTAGAACATAGAAAGAACAGGATTTTTCTTTTCTCTTTTTTTTTCTTTCATCTGTTTTTGTTTTCAAAAATTAATTACATTTGGGGGCACCTGGCTGGCTCATTCAGAAAAGCATGCAACTCTTGGTCTCAGGGTTGTGAGTTCGAGCCCCACATTGAGTGTAGAGATTACTAAAAAATAAATAACTGTAATAAAAAAAGATTTTTTTAAAGCAATTAAATTTTGCTAACGTATAAATTGACATTGATGCTTTCAGTTTATGTATCAAATAAGTTATAAACAAAAAAGACATATTCTGAGAAAATAGTAGAGGTTGTAGGTCTTGAAGGGGTTCATAGTCACACCATCACTGGTTTGTTTGTGGTATGTTGCCGTGGGTTACAATTTTACCTAATCCAGGTTAAGTAAATATATAAGTTATAATTCCTTAAATAGTAGAGTCTTTACAATATTTCATAACAAAAGGTACAATCATCATAAATGCCTCTTTTACCTCAGGATATTGTCAAACTGAAAGATGAGTTAGAAAGTGTTTGAAATTTGCTGTTTGAGATTTGTCCTTTTCAGGAATGAGATGTAGCTTTCAATAGTATGATACTTAGAAAATATTTTCTGAAAAAGGAAACACAATTTAACTGTGAGGTAAACATGAGTGAGAAAGTTAACTACTTTTTGGTGAAAATTGATACCATAGAGCAGAGTTGAGCACATTTTTTCCTCTAAAAGTTCAGATAGCAAATATTTCAGCTTTTGCAGTAACTGCAAAAGAAATGGCAGTTTTGCTCTGCCATTATATCATGAAAGCAAACATAAACAACACATAAATGAATGTGTTCCAGTAAAACTTTATTTATAGAAACAGGCTGGATATGGTTTGCTGACCCTTACTGTATAGCAAGAGCATTTTGAGTATGTTATTTTAGTAACACTTCCATCATATGATTTTAGCCATAAAAATAAATACTTACCCTTTTTAAAAAATTGATAACAAAATTTTCCAATCTGTTTAAAATCTTTCCAATAAAGGATTTTGGTTGTTTTTTCAAATCATCTATTTGATATATAAATATAGAATATCTTATTAGCTTATAAAAACCATTGCTTATAACAAGGAAAATATATATTTACTAGCACATTTCAACAAAAATCTTTACATAATTTGTGAGTGGGGTTGAAAAGTTAATGTCATGGATTAGTAAACATAGTCACTAAGAACTTTTTCCATTTGAATTTGGATATCTTTGTGTTTTATTTTTTCAAGTCTGATGCAATTAAACCAAATATCAATAAACAGAACTTGGAATATTTGAATTACTTTATCATAAAATATTAAACCAAGACTTAAAATTAATGAAATTTCTTTAATCAC